ACACCTTTGAGAGCTGTGATACAGAAGCCAACAATTGGGCTATGTATGCCTCTACCATAATTGACAGCATCATGGAGACATACTGCACTGCAGGATCCATGCCACCTGCTTACAGCTGGTTGCATATAAATGGGAAGTCTTCAGTCTTTGTTATCTTGGGATGTTTGGTGTGGCTCATTCTATCACAGAGAGGGTCTGACTTGTTTATCAATGAAGTTGGCCTTTTACAAGAAGATATAAAAGAAAGAAGATGAAGTCAGTTTAATAGAACAAATACTTGATGAGTATTATAAATTTCTCCCAGAATGTTTCTAGCTGTGGTTTGATGTCCTGTACTAACTCCCAGCATACATCCCTGGCTCTGAAAAATTCTGTCTTTCCCACCTCCTAGAGTGAGAAAATGAGAGAATTGGGCTGACAGCATGGCTAATATTGCCTTTTGAGTGTTGGTTTATGTATTTCTTCTTCTTACATGTTGGTTGGTGTTTTCCACTTGGCATGTGGGGAGTACAGGGAAGCAGATGTTATTGTCAGCATGCTAAGGCCTGCCAGGAAATGCTCAGGATCTTAGTGAGACACTTCCCTGAGACCTAATGTGCATCAGGCATTGGCATTGGTTGTGGCTACTCAAGTTTAATACTAACACAGTGTTACAGTGTCCCTGCCACGTTCCCTGCCACCACAGCATTAGTGTCCCTACCCACGTTCCCTGGTAGTCTTAAGCATAAGGAGGGTCTGAGACTAACACAGTGGCCTGGGCAAGAATTTCTTCCCCCCACATAGCCAGCTTTCCACCAACAGAAAGGAAAATCAGTCTGTGTCTGCCCATAGTTCCAAGGTGTTCTCTTGGGAGGTAAAGCGGGACTATTTCTCAATCCATCTTGGAGTTCAGGGTTTAGCTCAGTGGTTAAGGCCTCAGGTTTGGTTCCCAGCACTAGAGGAGGTGACTGAAAACAAGAGAACTATATTCCTGTCTTCTTAGCCAAGCCAGCCATCATGGTGAGCTCCAGGTTCAGTGAAGTGCCCTGCTTCACGGAGTAAGGTTGAAAGCAATAGAGGGCACAGAAAGTCAGCCTCTGGCACGTGTGTGGGTTAAATGCACAGTTATAACTAACATGGATGGAATGATTATTACATATCAAGACTAGTTCTAATGCTTCTCATAGCCCACTTAAAGCTCACAGTAGCTCTGTAAGTCCATCCTTACTTTACCATGCAGATGAGAAACCTAGGCATAGAGAGGCACTTCCTAGTGTTTCATAATCCACAGGACCTATTCTCTCTCAGAGCCTGTACTGCTAGGCCTCTGAAGTGCCTGGATCTTAGAGGTATAAAGAAATAAAGCCATGTGACCCCTTTACACTTTTCAAATTAAAAACCTTAAAGAGTATCAGATTGGCTGTTGTCAAAGGAATGCCATATTTTCAGAAAACCAAGATTGAGACGCAGGGCTTTATAAAAGAGTTTATTTTCTGGTTTCTGTGCTGACTTGATGTGGATTAGAATGCATTTATTTGATGAGTGAAGTCAGACATGAAGAAATATGACTTAGCCAGTACTAGCGCCCCTTCTTCCTCGGCGCTTACCCTATAGTCTCCTTCTTGCAGATCGGCCTCTACCTCTTCCTCCTTTGGAAGTAAGAAAGGGCTAGAAGAACCTGCAGAGAGAGGAAAGTGTGGGCTTTTGGTGAACACAAAGGCCTGCTGTGTGCCTGTGACATCTCCATGTGGCCACACCTCCCAAGTGAGATGAGGGAGGAAAATCCTCCACAAGCATTGGCTGCCCCTTCGTGCTTCGTTTCTCAGGCCTCCTGACCTTGGATCTATGAGTCCCTCTGTGACTCACACCCCTTCCCAGAGGCCAGGAGGGCACATCTACTTTAGTTGACTCTGTGTGTGATTCTGGTGCTGTTAATGTTGGAACTTCTGATGCCTCCCTTCGCCGGTCCATAGCTACTTCACTCAGGGTCAACCAAGCATGGGCTGTTTCTGTAACTGGTTAAATACATGCCATAGGAACTAGCTGCCATCCAGTTCAGCCATTCCCATATACATTTTTAAAACTAAGAAAAAGAAGTCTTCCTCCCAGAACATCTCCCCTACCCTTTCGTGGGATGAAGATCAGGCAAAGCAGCGATGGCTTTCAATAAACAAGCCAACCAAGACCTACTGTTACCTGGCTGGAGAGATGGCTCAGTAGTTAAGAGCACTGGCAGCTCTTTCAGAAGACCCAAGTTCAATTCCCAACACCTACATGGCAACTCACAACTATCTGTAACTGTCTGTAACTCCAGTTCCAAAGGATCTGACACCCTCACACAGACATACACATAGGCAAAACCAAACGCACATAAAACAAGTAAGTTTTTAAGAAAAGAAAGGAAAAGAATTACTTTTGCCAGAGTAGGCAGTGTGCTAAACCATGGCTGGCCAGAGCATGTTGGCTTTGAAGTTCTGAAGAAGGAAGAGCTGCCAGAAACCAGCTTGCTGTCCCCAGGGAACTGTTGATCCCAGGTTGGCCTTTTGTGACTCCCTGGTTCTGCCTTCACTACAAGCAAGATGCTTCAACATTAGACTTGCAGCACTCTAGGCTAACAGTTTCAAACCATCCTCAAGCTGCAGTTGCTTTCTCTATATAAAATTCAGCCTTCCTGACAGATATGGGTAATATTGTCTCTAAACCTAAGCATATGTGTGTTAATGACACATTCATCGATTTACCATTACTATTAACCATTCCCACCATGCATATATATATATATATATATATATATATATATATATACATATATATATATATACATATATATATATATATATATGTATATATATATATATGTATATATATATATATGTATATATATATATATATATATATATATTCGAGTACCAGTTAAGTACACTGGAACATGAGCAATACAAGAAATGAAAGGGGCCAATAGTCTAGAAACATTTGAGAATTGCATGTGTTCTCCTTGCTCAGTTTGTTTTGTTGTATGGAATCAGATTGCTAATTTGCTTCGGTGATTTTCGTAGTGGCTATTAGTGCTTCTACCTAGGTATATAATTGAATTTTGGAATAAATATGTATCAAACCTATTTTCTAAAGGGAATACCAACCTTGGAGTATGGCAGGGCTAGAAACAGTTCAACAAACTCCAGCTTGCTAGCCACTATAATGGAGATTTAACAGTGTCACTTCTTAAACCATGACTTCCATTTGTGATACAATTAAGGGCAATTACTCCCACTGGCAATTCTGGCCCAGGTGAAGCTGAGTTAATAAGTAGCCACTTGTCTCTACATTAGCTGGGGTGTCTTCATTAAGGCAGTCATGTGTTGAGTGTGCTAAGCCGGTTGCCATGGTTATTTGTGAGTTTCAACCTGGACTCTGGCTTTACTTGAAATTAATGGTGTTCGGTCTTCAATAAAAGGCACTTCCTCCTGTAGCAAAACATGCAGAACAGTAAGCGAACCTGCCAGGGCTTAGGAACTCAATTACAAAGGCTGGCGGCCAGTGCCTGGATGTTAGATACTGGATATTGACTGACAAGGTTTTTCTCTTCAAGTTGTTGGATCTATCCATATCTCACTGCCCATGGGTTCACCCCACCCTCCCATCTAGGACTGTTCCACACAGATAAAAGTTGCTTCCACCCTTCAGAGCTCCCTACCCCCACATAGGACTAACACCCTGAGGTTGCTTCTCATTCAACCCCAGAGCCCAGCACACATCAGGTTAAGAATGACTGCTAAATGAATGCAAGAATTCTCCTTCTCCCTGAGCCAAGCCAGCTTCCGTCAGACATTCTTGTTGATGACTCCATCACTGAGTACCTTTCAGTGGTTTCTGAGGACAGCAGGGTGTCCTTGGATGCTAAGGCAACAATGAACATCATAGCCAGACATAGCATAAGTGGACCAAGACCATGTGTTTGCAATTACTCGGAGTCGGTTCTCAGGATGTCCTGGGCCAGTGATGCTTAAGTACTGGAGAACTTTTGGAAAACCACATTGTTGTCTTTTGTTTTGTTTTGTTTGGTTTTAATCATACAGTTATTAAGTGATGAAAGTATATTTGTTGCTCTGGGTAGTTCAGTTTCACTGGAGGGGAAAATTTAAGTTTTCAGGATATGCTGAGAAAATACCTAAAGCACAAGGCATTATTTTTTTAATTCATACTTCAGGTAATTATGTTTTGTAATAATATTAAGGACCAGTAAGATGGCTCAGTGAGTAGGCACACTTACTGAGCTATCTACATAAAGGAGGGTGTGGAGAGCCATCTATACAGAATTGTGACTTGTGCTTTGGTTTTCATGTATGCCCCCACACATGAGGCACACACACAAAGAGTAAATTAAGATTTAAAAAATATTTTAATCGGAGAAGTATGAAATAGTTTCAGACCAAATGGTAGAAGAAACCAAAATCTACTAGCCAGAACTACCCACCCAGCTGGCCCATGGCATTTTTTCTGTTATTTTAATGGCCCCAGTAAACACGTTACCTTTTGTCTTTTTGTGTATTTTCTCAAAGATACATAATTGTGGGTGTCTTTGCCAGCTTAGGAAAGGGCTTTTGTGAGGTATTGTATTAATAAAGATCAACATTTAAAGGAGTTTCTAAGCTTCTGTTACTGGAAATATATGAATAAATAGGCATCTTATTTCTCAAATGCCCATTGAACAGTAACTTCATGCCCAAGTACATAATAGAAAGTGAGTTACCACTAACCATAAGGAAAGACTTGAAAATTCTGCTTTTTATTAGTAAATAAAATCATGAACAACTAATGTTTTTGAAATTGATTCTACCCTTTGTATGTGCTTTATTGTGTGTTTTCTTTTATTTGAACATTGAACTGAACATAGTAACTTGTCACTTCAGGGGGTGGGAGGGATTTATCGAGTTAGCCCCGTCTTTCCATGAGTCTGCCTCACAATTAATCATCACAAGAAATTCAGGTGGCTAATTAGTTCTGCTTTTCTCTCTACCTAGGTTTGTCTCAATCTACAGAGGACCCAGCCACACCTACAAGGTCCAGAGACTGACAGAGTTCACCTGCTATTCCTTCCGAATCCAGGCAGCAAGTGAAGCAGGAGAGGGACCTTTCTCCGAAACCTATACCTTCAGCACAACCAAAAGCATCCCTCCCACCCTCAAAGGTATGTGGAAGTAGACCCTGCTGCACTGTCCTGGGAGGGGAAAGATCATTGAAATCACACCTAAGAAATTCAATTCTGACCATAAATGCATTCTTCATATGTCTTAATAACAAGATGAAAGCAAAATTTCTCAAAAAAAAAAAAAAAAAAGGGAAGAAAGCTGTGTGGTGGGTATCTGGAGAAAATGCCTACATGTATGGACTACTGTATTCTACATACATGTTTATTGCAAATAATGTAGTATATTCTCATCCACATACATATATACATACCTACATACACACATACATATGGAACTGAAGACAGACAGTGACAGCCTGTGTGTTAGGAGTGAGAGATGGTTTAAGAAAAAATTGCCAAAAATAGTTTTCAAGTCTCTTTTCCTAAAGACAGTCAGTGGTTGGCATTTCTCTCTGGGTGACTTTGGTGCCTGGAAAGTAGAGCCTGGTTGAAGCAATGTCAGCATTTCCCTGTGGGCACACAGCCTCTCCATGGAGGGCGCCGTTAAAAACCCATGGTAATGACCATCAGTGTTTCTCCTGAAGTTTTCAAGGTTTCCTTGGAGGAATCAGGTCTTGCAGAAGTGCTAAGACAGCAAATAGATAGATCTCCCATCTTTCTCAAGGAGGAGGGTAGACAGAGCCATCCTTGCTGGGCCAACGCTCCAAGTCTGCCACATCTCCAGTCACAGAGTTGTGAATGAGTAGGTAGCAGATGTGCATGGTAGGGCTGATAGTGACAAGAGCCAAAGCTTGCACTTGGGCTCATGAGCCTTGTCCCTTTCACCAGAAGTCATGTTCTTACACAGGTCTCTGGAACTTCTCCTTGAACAAAGCAGCATTATCTCAGCCAGCCATTGCCCAAAATGGCCCTGGTGTGTTGGTGTGTGTTGTGGAGGGGCGGGAGTACTCACTATGGAGAAGATCCCTCTGTATTTACCCCTAGGACAGCTTCTGTGTGAAGGAATTGAGGCTCCCTACATCCAGAGCATAGAGTCAGTTACAGAAAATAAGGGGCGACCAGAACCTGGGTCACTGTCTGGCATGGGGGCTGCCAGGTTTGTTGTAACTCCTTCCAGGGCTACTTCATGGCATGTGTCTTCACCCTGTTCCCCTGCCCCACAGACACCTTGGCTGCTTCTTTCTCTGTGTCATGTGTCCTTTATGATGCTGGGCTGGGCCACTTTGGCAGCAAATGCCCAGCTCAAGTAGGCCTTTGCCTCTGGGCTTTATAAAAGATAGAACCTGCCAGGCTTGGTGGCACATGCCTTTAATCCCAGCACTTGGTAGGCAAAGGTAGGCGGATCTCTGATTTCAAAGCCAGCCTGGTCTACAACTCCAGTTCTAGGACAGACAAAGAAAAGAAAAGAGAACCTAAGCATGCTGTGGATTATTGGTTTGGGTGGTGCCTAGCAAATGTTCCAGAGGCAACTGTCTGTCTGTCTGACATTGGAAGTGCTCCCAGTGCCTCTCAGTGATCCTCACTAAGAGCTGCTCTACAGAATTTGGATAAGGGATCCCATGGTGCTTTTACCACATGTGGGCAAGGTCCTCCTCGAATACCCTATGACCAGGATCTGCCTTTGGCTCCTAGATTCCCTGGAGGTCTGGAGGTCTGATTAGTCTGGTGAGATTCCTTATTTAGTTTTCCAGCACAGTGGCCTGGGCAAGGGGGAGTGGTTGACTTAAGTATCTTACTACAGACTAATTTAGCTTTAAATATTCATGATAGATCCTTCCAGGACAAACTAAGGTGTAAATGTAGGGCAATGTTTTAAAGCCTCAAGGCTGCCTGCTGTCTGGGTCTTTGTTCAGTACCACCTATGCCTCCTGTGTTAAGTTGGTCACATGCTTTGTGTCTTCCTGTACCTGCCCCATACTGTGTTCTTTCCTTCTTTACCTAAGCTTAGTACCCTTAGAAACAGCTTGATCTTCATTTCCATACCCCTATAGTACCTGGCGCATGGAAAGTGCCAAAAACCTTGTGAAGGTGACCAAAGCCAAAAAAGGGAGAGAGGGAGGGAGGGAGGGGGACGGAGGAAGGGAGGGAGGGGGGAAGTCAGATTAACAGCCATAGGAGATGGTAGATGGATGGATAGGTAGTTTGGTGGGTAGATAGGTGGGTAGGTAGGCAGATGAATAAATAAGCGAGCTGTGACCCAGGCCACCAACTCACTAATGAGCTAATGAGAAGATGTGCTATGAATGGGCTTCCTGGTCATGGAGTAACTCCCCTTTCCCAGCAGGGTTAGCTCCCTCCCTGGCTGGACAGAAGCACCTTGGCATTCTCCCTGAGTCTCACAAACAGAACTAGAATGTGGATTGCTGGTGTGAGACATGGAATTTTGAGCTTGGGTGTTTGGTTTTGTATTGCAGCACCTCGGGTGACACAGTTAGAAGGAAATTCATGTGAAATCTTATGGGAGACGGTACCACCAATGAAAGGCGACCCCGTTAACTACATTCTGCAGGTATTGGTCGGGAGAGAATCTGAATACAAACAGGTAAGGCCCACTGTCTGTGCATGCACTGCCTTTCTACAACAGGCTGGATGCTTGCCTTGAGCACAGCCATGGACCACTGTCTATATGTGTGTCGCTCGTCTGCATCAGACTGGCTGCTTGTCTTGATGCAGTGAGCTGTGGATTTGTTAGGAGTCAGTGGTTGAAACAGCCTGACACCAGCTTATATCATTTATGTTTCATTTCTTACCTGGTGGTGTTCTTCTTATCTTAGTTCCCAAGTATAAACTTGTGAGGAATTTCAAGTGATGTATGTGTTTAATATCATAAAGTCTGCACATACCAGCCTTTGTATGATTGGAAACTGAAGTGACCCCAGAAAGGAAGGCATCTTAAACCAACCATCAAAACCTGTGTCCTGTCTGTCTCTGTTACAGAAGTGACAATGAAAGGAAGGGAGGTGACCAATAGACTCTTAAGGCCTCTGACTCAGAAGTTCCAGGTTGCTTCTTGTCACCCTTTAGAATGCAAACCCAATACATGGAAACCTGGTTGAGTTCAGGTTCTGATTTGAGATGGATAGATGTGGATTCAGGCTTCTGGTGACATGACCTGTGTCAAAGTCAATAGATCACAGTTAAACCTATTCAAAAGAAGACACGATTCTCATTGCCAGACAGTGAATTTGGTTTTACTGTTTTTCATACCTTGTGATCCTTATCTGGTCACTGACTAGAACATAGCAGCTGCTTGATAAAATTGAGACATAAGACTGTGTATTCCATCAGGAAAGTGAAGTCCATTCTTTGCTTGGCATTTTTCATAGTCTATCTGTATTGAACTCATAAGGGTGACAGTCAATGCCACCTGTCCTGGGAAATGTTAGCATTGTTTTATAAAGGCTGCTGTTTTAGCCTTTTGAGTCTTCAGATACACACAAAAGAAGAAAATCTAACTCAATGTTTCCCTTAAATTGCTTGCTGATGTTTTGTGTTATAATTTTTTTAATTCTTGCAAACAAAATATGCTTAAAATATCAAAGAAGTTACTGAACAATCTGATACATTTGCTAATGTGAGCATCAGATAATAACAATTGTTTGAATGACATCTTACACAAACGTTCTCTTCAATCTGACACCTGCCAGTATTGATTCCCATGAGCTGATGATGTCCCCTCCACCCCACTTCCCACTAGGGAACAAAGGCCCTCCTGGGCTTCCCTTTCACCTTCCTGTCTTGTTCTGTTCCTGTTAGCATCTCAGAATTTGTCAGTTCACATGAATCACTGTTCAACTTATCAAAAGAGCTCTCTCCAGCAAGACGTAGCTGTAAGACTTGTCCCATCCTCTCTCTCAAGGGGGCCAGAAAAGGGCTTGCTTTCCTGTTTCATACTAAACAGTGGTTCGTTTCTCAACAGGACATTCATCATGTCTTCGCTGCTGTGTCTTTAAAACCTTTTGTTCCACATACCATGCTTTCTAAGTATTCTTGGAAAAGAATGTTCTGTTTCTCAGGGCCACTTTCGCGGGGAAAGGGCAGCACTGTGTGTTCTGTTGATGTTCATGTCCACCATTGACAGAATGAAAACTAACCTATGCAGTAACTTAGATTTTATCATCTTTTCTGAACCCACTGTTCAGTGCTACATAGTTAGAGTACTAAGTACTGATATGATGTACAATCATATACTTGCCATAGAATATTTTTCTTACTGTCAGTGCTATAGACAACTGTTAATTGTCAAGAATGTAGTATTTTAGTCAAAAGAGGTGTCCACATATTTCCCACTTTTACCAAGAAATGAGTAAGGGCCGTAGTGACCTGAGAAGCCACAGTTGTGACATGGCTGATCAGGGACAGTATGTACTGGGTTTGGGGATTTTGTTTTCTTTTTTCTTCCTTTCACTATTCGGTAAGCATGAACTTGAATGTGGTGTTTTCATTATTGCTTTTCCTTGTCCTGACATGAGAGAGGGAATGAAGGCTATTTGTATAATGTGTGGAATAATAGTCAGCAGGCTTTGAATTCGTAATGGCAAAACCAAAGCAAATGGGAGGTAATTGTTACTACACAGCAACCACAGCCGAGCCAGGGCCCTTGTGCTGCACTGCATATACCTCCATTACAACGCTAATCACAGGACCCATTAACAGGAGGGCTTGGGTGATTCAGTTTTAGTTTTCTGAGTCTGGCATGTAGTCAGGCATTCGGTAAATGCTTCCTGCAAACATGGACGAGGCAGTGTCCAGGGAGCTCGGTGATTACACCTGCAGTGGTGAGTTTACTCTGTAATAGGAAGAACAGTGATGTTGATTCCAATAGGCAGGCCCAATGCCCCTCCGGTCTTGAGTTTTCTTAGTTCTAGCTTCCCTTTTGTTCTGCTCTCCTTTGTTGTCATTGTGATGTAATCAGTCAGCCTGTTTTAATAACCACACTGTCATGTGTGTATATGTCTGTCTCTCTGCCTCTTAAACATTCCAAGTGTTTTTCAAGAGTTTGAGCTTTTTAAATTTTTTCAATGGCATTACTGCAAAGCATTCTTAAAATTTCTCACATGCATGCAACTCATTTTTGGTTTTGCACAGCACCAAACAATGAAGCAGAAGTATACAGATTCCCTACTCAGATATCGATAGTCTATACCAAAAATTAGTGCATGTGAGAATAGAGTTGACAAAGTACAAGAAAACATTTCCTACTAATAATTATTGCTCAGATTTCTTGCATTTAGAAAACCTCTGAGATACTGGAAATTCTGTGGCGCCCACTTGAATTAGTTGACATGTCTCTATATTAATTAGCTGACATGTCTCTATAAACATATGTTGACCTTGTATCATCTTCAGAATACAGCACTGGGATAGTCATTGATGCGTCATGTTGTCACAAGGGGCACAGTGAGAACAGATCTTCTGTTGACTACACTATTCTGATGCCATTTTAAAGCAGATTCCAGGGCCAGCCTGTGTCTCAATGACTTTGAACACATAACCATGAAGCTGTTTTAGTCACCTAAAGTTTTCCATGTTTCAAGCCCAAAACAAGAACAAAATAGATCAAAGTAGAAATCTTTCAAGGCTACCATTTATTTTACTAACTTTTAAGTTTACAGTTTAAGTTTACTTTTAATTTCTCATAAAGACCACTTCCCCTTCAACCAGAACAATGCTTGGATGAACATCTGCTTGAAATTTCATATCAACTGAATTTGTTTTATTTCCTGGAGTGCAGGTATGGCACCCAGGTTGTTGATCCACTCCTAGTCGCTCTGTATTATGGAGATGTCTCGTTGGTTGACACTGATTATTGAAGACATCCACACCCACAGGCAGTTTGCAGTGTCTGCCCAACACCCTTGCTGCGCCTGTCTCTTTCCCAGCATAGGTGGTCCCCACCACTGTCACCTCCCAGGGCAGGTCTACAGGTGTGCAGATTCCTTCTTGAGCCAGGGTGTCTGAGGACACACCTGACTCCCATGGTCCTAGGATTTGGGAGAATTAATTTATTTTGTCACACTTCAGTTAATAACCCAGCCAATTTGGATTGTTCCAGTGTGCCTCCTGTCCATCTAGTCATGACAGGGAAGTGTGTGGCTATACCGTGAGGGAGGGGCGGTATTCAAGCAAACCTACAGCAATCCAGCAAGCCCTGTGCTCAATGCCCCTCCCCTAAAAGCTATTGTTTAAGGGATTCTAACCTCACAGCTTGTTACTCCTGAAGTAAAACTCTTGGATTCTTCGCTTCAGTTACCTGGGTGTTGCCTTATGCCCTCCAGTTTGAAGTAAACATTTCAAAATGAGTTTAAAATATAGCATCAAATCAAGAACAAAAATAACCTTTGGGGAAAAAAAAACAAATAATTCACATTTAAACTTATTTTTACAATATTATGATTGGTGACTTCAATAAGAAAATCTTAAATGGAGCATCTCCTCTTAAATTGATTTGAGGCAGGAGAAGAAGCCCTTAACGAGGCCCCTATGAGAATGAATGAAAACAAACAGATATGAGACGTGACCAGCCAGTGCTACCTGTGCAGATTCTCAAAGCCCCTTGGGAAATCACCCTGCACAGGCAGAGCCTGAGGCCCTTGTGACTTTATGGCAGCTCGTAAGAACTGCTGGCATTGGTGCCACAGACATGCTGTGCACACCAAGTCAGGGTCTTGAGCTTTCCTTCAGCTAATTGCTGCAAGTGCTGCGAACTAGATCCCCACAGGCCCCTGCAGCAGATGCTGTATACTATATCCCCATAGCCCCCTGCAGCAAATTCTGTATACTATATCCCCACAGCCCCCTGCAGCAGACGCTGTATACTATATCCCCACAGCCCCCTGCAGCAGATGCTGTATACTATATCCCCATAGCCCCCTGCAGCAAATTCTGTATACTATATCCCCACAGCCCCCTGCAGCAGACGCTGTATACTATATCCCCACAGCCCCCTGCAGCAGACGCTGTATACTATATCCCCACAGCCCCCTGCAGCAGACGCTGTATACTATATCCCCACAGCCCCCTGCAGCAGACGCTGTATACTATATCCCCACAGCCCCCTGCAGCAGACGCTGTATACTATATCCCCACAGCCCCCTGCAGCAGATGCTGTATACTATATCCCCACAGCCCCCTGCAGCAGATGCTGTATACTATATCCCCACAGCCCCCTGCAGCAGACGCTGTATACTATATCCCCACAGCCCCCTGCAGCAGATGCTGTATACTATATCCCCACAGCCCCCTGCAGCAGACGCTGTATACTATATCCCCACAGCCCCCTGCAGCAGACGCTGTATACTATATCCCCACAGCCCCCTGCAGCAGACGCTGTATACTATATCCCCACAGCCCCCTGCAGCAGATGCTGTATACTATATCCCCACAGCCCCCTGCAGCAGACGCTGTATACTATATCCCCATAGCCCCCTGCAGCAGGTGACTGTCCTGCAGATCAGGGAAGATGCAAGGTCACCTAAGGAAGTTAGTACCACTTCCTTTTTAAATCACTCATTAGCCAAACACGTCACTGACTTGGTTTAGTTGCAACCCAACCCCCATCTCTAGTTGTTAAGCCTGATGCAATCCATAAATTTTCATACAATTTTAATGTATTGTTTCCTTGACATTTTCTAAGAATCAGTATCACAGGAATGGTTGGCTCTCCACGAAGCCTCCTTCCTTGGTCAGCCTCCTATTAGCTCAGCCTATTCGAAGCATGATCATTTCTAAATAGAGTTTCAAATCCCTGCAATAGTAAGCCTCTCCGTGATTATATTAGGGTCTAAGGGGCAGGGCATATCTCAGAATCCCAGGGAGAGAGCAGATTGGTTATACTCATAGGACAGGAAAAGAAACCACTCACTCAGATGTATCAGTTTCTTTGTGTTTTGTTTTGTTTTGTTTTGTTTGTAACAGCCTGTTACTGTGTAACTCTGACATCTGGAACTGGCTATGTAGATCAGGCTGGCCTCAAACTCACCGAGATCCACCCCCACATCCCTGCCTCCTGGATGGCTAGGATTAAAGGTGTATGCTACCACACCTGACTTCGATATTAATTGTTTAATGTTGAACTGCATCAAAGGATATCTTCAGATATCAGAACTACTGAGAAGTAAATTTTCATAGCATATATATCTACCAGAGAACTTAGATCCAGATTCTAGAGCAGGCATTACTACTACATGAGGAACTATATTAAAGGGTCACAGCATTAGGAAGGTTGAGAGCCTAAGCTCTAGAGAGAGCCTACAAATCAGAGCAGAGGGCGTGTGTATCTCTATACAAAGGGGTTACAGAAATGTCATATACACATGTGAAAGGGTGTAGGAAGCCACTGGTAGAAGATGTCATTTGCACCACTGCAGAAACTCAACCCATGACATGAGGGATGTGCGGGAACTGGTGAAGATGCTGGCAGCAGGGCTCCAGCTGGTGCTGTGCATGCAAGCCTTCAGTCCTTCCCATGGGTTGTAGATCCGCTTTGAGATGAAGCCTTTCTACTTTTCACTGTCAGCCCTAAAAAGATGCAACTTAAATCTCAGGTCTACACAAAAATATCCATGGCATACACACACATACACACACTGCGAACAACCCAAATGTCGCTGAAAAAGAAAGCCAGTGCAGTGCGATGTCCAGAGTAACTGAGGAAAGAAAGTCTCTGTTGCTATCTGTGTGTGTCTCTGTGTGTGTATGCATATGTATGTATGAACTTATACCTCAGGCAAAGCAAGTTGCCGAACTGGAAGGCAGTATGGCGCTTACCTGGTGGGAGGGAGGGGGTTATCTTGACTGGGGCAATGTCACATTTGTGAGCTGTAGATGTGATGAACCCGTGGCCCAGGGGCAGAGGACAGCAAGAAAAAGGTGCACCACAAACTCAGAAACTTTCTTAATATTTTATAAGAATTAGGGAGGGTGACTTGACTGCACAGTTCTCGAGTGTGAACTTCATACGTAGGTAACATGTCACATTGTCAGAAGATTGGATGTGACTGATAGCCTATCGTCAAAAACAATGTGGGTAATGAGAAAGTTTGTGTTTTGTTAGCAGTATCAGCAGTTCTTGCTTCACGTTAAAATAGTAATTTGTCTGGAGATAAGAAGATAGAGCTCTTGGTATTAAGTCGCTTCTAATACGCGGCCTGTACTGTAGAAATTTAGGTCTGTATCTGTATTATTTAACACATTGGCTACATTCACTTCTAGCAAAGTCAAGTCACCGGAGTCTATATTGCACTTTGTTCCAAGTAAGTTCACAGGGTGATTCCATAAGAACATAATGCTTTTGTTAAGCGTTTATTTGAACACAAGGCTCCAGGCGTACACAGTATTTTCTGTGGCAGCCACAATGTTCTGAGTCGCTCACCTCTAACTTTTCCTTCTTTGAAGGTGTACAAGGGAGAAGAAGCCACATTCCAGATCTCAGGCCTCCAGAGCAACACAGACTACAGATTTCGTGTGTGTGCATGTCGCCGCTGCGTGGACACCTCCCAGGAGCTCAGTGGAGCTTTCAGCCCCTCTGTGGCCTTTGTGTTACAGCAACGTGAGGTCATGCTTACGGGAGACATGGGGAGCATGGACGATCCGAAAATGAAGGGCATGATGCCCACTGATGAACAGTTTGCTGCCCTCATTGTGCTTGGCTTCGCAACCTTGTCCATTTTATTTGCCTTTATATTGCAGTACTTCTTAATGAAATAAATCCAGCAGACTAGAGGTGTGAATGGAACGCCACACATTTTAATACACATTTACTCAGAGCCTTTTTGTTCTTTGATTTATATACTTTTCTTGTTTTACAGATTTAGCTAGGGGAAACAGTCAGTGTTTGCCTGCACCTATTTGAGATGCAAAACTAGGAAGAGGTTAAACTGGATTTTTAAAAAAAAATAATAATAAAGGAATAAATAAGAGAAGGGAGCAGCAGGAAAGCACCAGACACCAAGAGCCAGTGTGCCCAGTGAGTGCCGCATGCCCATTGAGCGCAGTGCACCCAGTACCCAGTGTGCCCAGTACACCCAGTGCCCAGTATGCCCGGTGTGCCCAGTGAGTTATGTTTTCAAGCTTTCTAGTTTCTATTCTGTCTCCACGGATGTCTTTTGCAGGCCTTTGATTTTTTTGTGTGTGTTCCAATGTAGTAATTTATATTCACAGTCACCTCTTGGTCGTCTGTATCTGTAAACCGAATCACAGTGTATGGAGTTCAGGGCTGGGATCTCGCTGTTGTCAGAGTAGTGCCACACAAGAACATACAGAACATGTGTGCCTTCGGCTGAGGCCACCTAGACCATCCTATCATCACTCAGTTATGTAACTGTTTAGCTCATTTAAATCAAAGTGTGTACTTTAAATGTTTTACTACTCTGTGTCCCTTATGATTTTAACACTATGAGTTGCCTGTCTAAGCAATCACATAACCAAATGCTTCTATAAGTGATGGAGCGTTGTAGGTTTCCACATCAGTCCATAGCAGTAATTTTAAGAGGGCATTGTGCAATAGCTAGTTGTTTCCTATTCAGCTACTTTAAAAAGCTGCTTTAACTTGCCTATCTGTCTTTGTATATAACTACTTCTAATCTAATCAGTAGAGTTATTATATTCTGTTATGTTTGACCAGAATTATATGACGAGAACTCATGACAGTTGAATGCCTCACAATTGTGAGCTGTCTTACATGTTGGCCCATTATTTTTGAAAGATTTACCTTTGGCTATCCTCTGGGGTGTCATTGAAAATGAATGAAGTTCAATACCTTGTTCCAGAGCCCATAATACTAATGTGGGAGGAGATACAAATCTTCTTGCTAAAGCCCAGGAGGGAACCATCTACATTTATCCTTCTGTTGCTGGGGGCTTGATCTGGCCACATGTAGAGAGGGAGTAGTAACTGGCTATAAGCACAGTGTGTTTGGGGCCAAAGAGCTTATAAGATTCTCTCCCTGGATCTGTCACTAGCTTGCTCTGTGACCTCTCTGTGCCTGTTTTCCCATGCATGAGAAATCAAATCAAATGGCGGTTCAGTATCTGTAAGTGCTTTGAGATCTTGGATCCACTGGTGCTATTGGAGTGTTACTCTCGCATGTTTATGTAGAGTCATGAGATAAAAGGTTCTAACCCAAAGTCATTGGATTACTCATATGAAGTCCACAATGTTCGAGTACCTCAGGGACACTTAAGAGTTGGAGGTGCAACTGTATTCCAAAAGGGTGCAACAGACACAGCCGATCCCCCTGTTCCTGGTTTTTTTGTATATTTTTGCTCCTTGGTTTTTCTTGATCATAGCTGTTTTGTGCTTGGTCTATGTTGTCTATGATGCAGTAAGTACCCTGTACTAGCTTATAATGTTCCCATACCAAAGTCATGGGGAAACCAACATTATTTTGTTTTTGGGTTTATTTATACTATATTCTGCATACAGTACTTTAAATGCCAATTACAGTGCAATCTTTATTTATTGTAAAATTTTTAAAATGTACTTATGTACTAATTTGCCCTCGTAGCATGTTATATTTTGTGTGTTTTATACTTTTGTAATTTTAGGTCAGTTTTGTTCCTTGGCAGCATCTGTAGTATTAACCTTCTGACATTTTCTTGTGTTTTTAAAGAAGAGCATCTAACTCATTAAATGCCAAAAAAAAAAAAAAAAAATCCCATTATCAGTGATTGAAAGGTTTACATGTACCCAGAAGACCATAATCATCTCGGAAGAGTGCTGAGATTAGTGCATTATTGTGTGCCTATATTGGTGTAGTTGAGTACACTCTGTGTAGAGAGCTCTGTATTTTGTTATTGACTATAATAATTAAAGTAATTAGACTTGTAAACTGATGGTATCAAGGTAAATATATTTTTGCCAAAGCTCTGGCCTTCAGAAATTCATCCTTTCATCTAAATGTGTCATTTGACCCACTGTGACATTACATCTGCACTTTCCAAGACCATTAAAGCAGGTGAGAGCACATTTGGTGGAGTGATTTTAAAGCTATTTGTGGGGAGACTCTTCTTTTGGACACCTCAGCACTGCTGCCGTCCAGAGGCCTCTGACTCGGTTGAAAGGTTTTGCATTTGATCTTCCGGAGATTTGCGTGCCCTGTGACCATCAGAAAGCTGAAGTACGTGACACGCGAGCAGACAGCACTTTATTCTATTGCTCTCCATTATTTGGTTGTCATTATAATCTCTTCAGACAGGAAATGATTCCTCCACATGGCACTATTTTCTATCACAAGTCTGTATATGTGCTGTGGATATATAACTTTATGTATATTGTCATTACAAAGGAACAGTAAGATAAAGTGTTCTATTAACCTCCCCTTTGCCCTTTGCCGTACGCAGGAGTGAGTGAGTGGCTTTCCGATGCTCTGATGCTTCTCTGTATGTCATATGCATCCCTGACACAGAAATTCCAGTCATCTGAAGCAAACTGCCCTTTGTCCTCAATGAAAAGGTTTAACAAGAAAACTTTTTTAAAGGATATTTTGCATATTACCTGCCTTGTTCATATCGAACTTGAGATGTTGACATTTTCTAGCCCTGTTTCTTTGGCTACAATCATTCAGTATTTGTGTCAAAATTGAAAAGTGCCCTAATAGAATGTGTTTGAATGTTATCCTTGCACAATTCTTTAAATTGAAAGACGAGATGTTTTACCTCACTGTTGGACATACATTCCAAGCTTTTCAACTTTAGAAGAAAGAATAATCATGTTTTTCTGTCTTGTAAATTTTAGATTATTTCATATACATTGTATTAAAACTGCCATATCAATTTTAATGTATAGATTTTGCAAATACTATGCTATATGTAATACCTAACTGTATCTGTAGTGTATATGTAATATATTTATGCCCAATAAATGTTTTAATTCTTTCTGACGTAAGTAGGATTGTTCAGCCTTGAGTGGGATTACTTTTATTGTTGCTCCTTTTAAACACTTAACATCTCAAAAAAGGTCCAGTTTAAGTGTCTTGAGCACCCAGGCAGGTGATGATGCTTGTTGTCACCTGTTTCATGGTGGTTGAGGTCTTACAGGAGCTCCCTGACATCCCAGAGTAACTCAAATCCACCCCACTTCTTTACTGAGCCCCTCTCTGTGTATGCTTAGCTATTAGCTTAATACTTTATCTGCTTCTGGAAGTCAGGAGGACAGGTCTCCCTGTGTCACCCATTACCGAGTGCTGCCCCGTGATGACCTCATACAGTGTTGAATTCTTTCCTCCTCTGGATCTCACTCTGCATAAGCAAGGAACTAGTGTTCTTCTTCTATGAGACTACAGGAAAGAATAAACTACAGTAATTTAGTGGTTTAGCTGGTGAGGGTCAGAACCTGGTGATGTGTTCATCGTTATGGTTGTTTCACTAGTAAGCTCGCCCACCCCACTGCCTGCACACCATGGGGACAGTGTTTGTGACTCACACCTCCCTTTCTGTGTCATGACTGAAAAAATGACAAGTTGAACAAGCATCGAGTTTTACATGGAACTGACACTGCAGAAAATATAGTAAAGGCTTTGTTTTTCCACAAGACCAGGAACATGGATAAGAAGGTTATTGGCACTAGAATTTTGGAAAGCTGACCAGGGAACACAGAATGCCTGTTTGTCAGGAAGGAAAATGAGCACCGATGGGAAATCAGTGCAGAATTCTCAATGCCATGTCCTGAAGGCTGAGAAACTGACAGTTGTGTCTGTGTCCCCAAAAGTGAGAGCGAAGAATAGAATGGGTTAAAATCTGCTTAGCTCTGTCAATACCCCCCTCCCTTTTACATTGCCCTCCCTACCCTCACCTCTGCCTAGAATTCTATCCTAAGGAGGCTAAACTTGACAGCCCCTGCCTGAGGAGTCATGACCCAGAGCTGAGAGGGAGGGTACATGCAAATGAAGCCTGGTGAGTAGAGCCATACAGAGGGTGGCAGGGTCTCCAGGAGATCTAAGTTCTTCAGTAAAATAGCTTGGTGGCTTTTCCATCTTACCTGCATGATGACATTCCTCGGAAGCTTTTCAAGATGTCTGCACTGGAGCAGAGATATGTGACTGCAGCAACAACAGTTTTCAATGATCTCCAGCTGATTGCACTGCACAGCTGGATTGAAACCCTCTTTCTCATGTAGGCTGCCAGTTGGGCCTGCTTCATTAGTCCTGTCTTAACCAAGGGCAACCTGATAGCTGGTCAAGCTTCTAGCATGAATGAACAAACCCCAAAGCAGCAACTCAGAAGAACCTGTCAGGGAGAAGATTGAAAAACTAAATTACTGTCTCTACATCTAACATAAAAATGAGCAGCAGCAAAAATATGCCAAAGAACAATAAGAAAAAAGCTTCCTAGGAATTAGGATTTCCAGGAGGAGAAAGAAAGATGAAAATGAAGACTTAAAAAACAGAGCAAGGATCAGACCAGGACATTCCAGGGGTGCATTTCAGCATCTCCAGAGATAGGAAGCGAAAGAGAAAGTATATCATATGAGTATCCAGAATGAGGCATGAGACCTTCATCACAGAGACAAGTGAGGTGTCCATCAAACTGTGGCATCTAGAAATTACAAAACGCTAGAGCCAGAAAAATCAACAATGCAGCAAATCGGGCCACATGGAGGTGTTAGGATATGAGTGGCTTTCTACGGAACCACACCGGAAGCTAGATGACAGAGCACAGTTGCTTCAAGGCTATAGAATGTCCCACCTTAATCAAACAGTATGAAGTGTGAAGATGACTTTTTAGAAATGCAATAACTCACAGATTTGCTTCCAGTGTACCCTTCCCTGAGAGACTGCAGTGTATGTTCTGCCTGCAATGGAATAGAGCAGGAAAGCATCATGGGTTTCTACCTCCATACTTCTAGCTAAGGCCCACATTTGGCTCTCTGGCCTTTGCTGCAAATAGATGTATCCAACTTTCACTTTCCTACCCCTTTCCCAGTCACCCTACATATGACTGTAAATGCCTACACTTTCATGTTAGAGGATAGGCTAGAGGGTCAGAGATTCAAGGCCATGGGAGGCTGAGTACCTCAAGAGCTGGGGAGGACTACAAACACTGCAGCATATGACATGTTATCTGGTTAGGTAATAGAATGAACAAAAGGCTTGTTGACTTGAATTCAACTAATTTGATGGGAAAGTTTACATAGCAGTGCCATGGTCCATACATTTTTCTAACATAACCCCTATTGTTTTGCCATAGTGTATTTATTCATGATAGAAATATTTATCAAGCTAGAAAACCTTTATCCTCAACCTGGTAAGAACATCTCTCTAACAAGGGGGAGGACCTAGTCCCTACTCCAAATGACTTGAAAGATTTTGTTGATCCCTCCTGGAAGGCATCACCCTACCTGTAGGTTGGGAGGAGGAATGGGATGGGAGGGTGGTCCGGGGACATGAGAGGGTGGGAGAGGGAGAGGGAACTGGGATCAATATGCAAAGTAAGAAAAATAAATAGAACATCTCTCTAATGCCCACGATAAACATAGTAGTAGAGGAAAAACTGATCCACCACCATCATTCCCCCACCCCCGACCCCCGCCTGCCTCCCGCGCCACATAAAAAAGTCAGGGATATTGACTCTTGTTTCCTTTTAAACATTGTACAGTGTCCTAGTGGAGGTGATTAAACAGTAAGAAGTAAAAGGCACAGGGGCACAGGTTAAGCATGAATGAGTTCAACCAGGAGTCACACTAATAAAAGGAAAAGATTACAGACTGAAGAGGGATATGGGGACAGTGTTTACTCTTGGCATATATGCAGCATATCTTAAAGAATGTGCAAAAGGTGTCAAACAAGTTGCACAAAGGTTTCAAGACATGATATTGATTTAAAAAAATGGATTACATTTCTCCAGGCTAGTAATGAGCTATGCAAAAATATAAAGCTGAGGAAATAAATCCATTTACAATAGTGTGGAAGAATAAAATGCTTGGCAATAAGTTAAATAAAAAGAAGTGCAATAGTTCTGTACCAAAACTGAAGAGAAATATTAGAGCTCTACATGGAAATAGAAACTTTTGTTCATAAGTTAAAAATCTTAAAATCACAAAGATACTTCCTAAATTGGCTGAAATACAGTCCCTGTGAGAATGTCAAGTAGAAAATTGATGCATGTGGAAAATTGATAATCTGATTTTAAAATCCTTATTGGTATTCATGAACCTGAAAGCAGTCAAAAACACCTTTAAAAAAGAACAAAACATTGGAAGAGTTGCACTTCCTAATTTCAAAACTCACTACAAAGATAAAATAATAGAGATGGCCTAGTGCTATCATAAAAACAAAAACTAGGATAACTCTGGAAGAACTGGGAGTCCAGAAATAAATCCCTGTAATTCCAATTGCTTTTTGATGAAGTTGCTGAGTCAAGGAATGTTGGGTCAATGATGTTGGGTCAACCAGATGGCCACTTACAAGAGAAAGAACTTCAATTTCTACTTTATACCATAAACAAATTCATTCAAGGTGGGTCAAAGATGTCAATGTATAAGCTAAAGCCCAAAATATTTAATATTCAAAAATACAAAACTTCTTGAAAATGTGCATTAGCACCCTTGTTCTTGTTCATGGGAATGTCAAATAGAGCCACTGCTTTGGAAACATCTTCACAATGTTAATCATATAATTATATCACCCATGCATTCCACTCCTAGGTTTATTATCCCCAAAAGAGATCATCTGTAAATGCAAAATACATTCATGGACATATAGAACAGAGTTCAGTCATCATACCCAAGTGTCTATTAGCAGATGAATAAACAAAATGGTATATTTGTTGTACGAATGAGTACACCAGATAGCAATGAACTATAACATGCTACAGATGAATCTTGAAAACAGTATACTATATGAAAGAAGCCAGGTAAGAAGCTATATGTTGTACAGTCCTATCTATATGAAATGCTTAAACTGTGGGAAACTCAAGAAACAAAAAGGTAAGTTACCAGGGACTAGGTAAGGTAAAATTGAGAGTGAGTGCTAAGTGGGTGCATGGTTTCTTTGGGGGTAATGGAAAATGTTCTAGATAAATGAGCCTTTCTCTGTCCTCCCAACCAGATTCCCAAATAATGATACGGAGACTTATTATTAATTATGAAAGCTGGGCCTTAGCTTAGGTTTGTTCCTAACTAGTTCTTTCAACTTAAATCAATCCATATCTATTAATCTACATCCTTTTATGTAGCTCAGTACCTTAAACTCAGCATGCACTCCTCATCCTGCTTCCTCTCAGTCTGGCTGGTGACTCTGACTTCTTCCCAGAGCTGTCTGTCCCCAGAAGCCCCACCTAACCTCTTCCTGCCTAGTTAATGGCCATTTAGCTTTTTATTAAACAAATCAGTGACACATCTTCACATAGTAAAGGAACATTTCCCCATTTTTGTCTAAATAAAAAGGAAAGGTTTTAACTCTAACACAGTAAAACTATATACAATAACAACAAATATCAGTTAAGAATTATATTTACAATGTCCAGTCTATTTTTATTTGTCAAACTCAGAGAAAATACTCCATTAATACTCCTCTCTTGATGAATCTAGATTTTTGTACCTAATTTACTTTCTATCATGACTTAGGAAAACCCCATCAAAGATCCAAGAAGGATATAATATTACCTGAGTAAACAGGAAGTGCAGAGCAAGCAACTTCCAAAACTATAAGAAATGACAGAGACATCTGGCTGCCTGTACAGTCATCCCAAGGTTCTTCAGTAATGTTGGAGCATCTATCTTTGGCCTATGGGTCTAGAATATTTGATAGACTTTTTGTGAAGCAGGAATTTTTGAAGGACTATCTTGACAAGTTTGGCAGTCACTTTCTTTTGTGTCCTGCTTGTCCATTTGGATAGCATACTGTCAGCAGTCAAAGCAAGGGCAGTTTCTTGCCCAAATGACTACCT